TAAAAAGTACGATATTTGTCTTTCAAATGTAGTGAAGTTGGAGTATCAAGTTTCCAGAAAAAATAATACTCAAGTAAAGTACAGATACTCAAAAAATGTACTTCGTTACTGTCCACCTCTGCTTCTTATTAATAGTATGGTGGGTATGGTGTAGGATTAAGGGATCTAAAATATGGTTATACAGAATAAGGCATTAATATGTGCTTTATAAAGAACTAATAAACAACCAATATTCTAGTAACATGCATGCTAATAAGTAACTAGTTGTTAATAGTGACAATTAGTCCCTAAACTAAAGTGTTATTGTAATTTTTGACCAAGGCATGCATTTAAAGGTTACAATTAAAGGCAATCCCACTGAACTTTCAACTTCCCATTTACTGTCGAGAATTCAAAACTTCGCATGCAAGAGGTGTATAAAAGCAAGGCGGCAAATATTGCATGAACGTAAAGTACACTCCTTCCAAAAAAAAAAGAAAGAAAAAAAAAAAGAAGTGTTGCAAAATAAACTGTTTAACTTTACCAGGAAGCGTTAATGATTTTAAGTCTTGCTGGAAATGTGTCAGCAGCATAATGTTCAGTGGGTGTCTTTAACTGTCAGGAGGGAGGGCGCTTGCTCAAGCGGGTCACATGGGTGGAGGGGTGTGTGCGTGTTTGAGGATGTCGGCAGAGCAGTGCGCTCACACATTTTCACCTCCCTTTCCCCAGCAGCTCCTTTTTTCCCCCCCTAATGATCAGAAAAGCAGAGCGGCACAGCACAAAAGGAGGAAGCTGCACAGCATCACAGTACATACAAGAAGAATGAAAGTCTTTGAGGAATAGGAGTGGAACACCTTGTCTAGCTCTGCATCGCATCATGTCTCAGTCAGCATTTGATTAAAGAGAGGCTGGTAACGGTCTCAGGAATTCAAATTGTGAATAGGGAAATGCCTGAAGCCATGGCCAAACTGGGAGAGAAAATCCTCTGTGAAATCTACAGGAAATGCAGATTCTGCAAATCAAAGAGATGAGAAGACAAGGAGTGGCAAACCATAGGAGGAGGAACAGACTAGAATGGCAGGAGCTATAAAAAGGTACAATGGCAGAGCACACAGCATCTATCTGCAACAGGACTGACGAACAGCAAGCGTCTCATTCAGTTCAAGAGAAAGGTACGTCAAACCAGACATCTGCACATTTCTATCCGAAGCTGTGCTGATGCGATTCTTTCTTCCCTGCAATCCAGGTTTCAGAGCATCGAGCCAAACGAACGTCAACCTGTGTGCGCTTTTTGCTTTTTTGATGATCTGGATGAGAAGAATTTACACGAAAAAGCATTTCAGTCTCTTGGTGTGTACTTACAATTAGCTAGTGGCAACACAACGGCTGTAGTGTACACTAAATCTAGATATATCAGAGAAGGGAAAATAACCTTTGGCCACGTTTACAGCTGGTATTTAAAGAGGACTTTGACTTTAAGTACAAAAAACACATTTGGAGAAACGTCTCTGGTGTTCTTCTGAAGTATCTGTCATGTGCCACAAAAGAAAGTCATACAGGTTTGGACTATCATGAAGGCGAGTAAATGATAGAATTCTCATTTTTGGGTGAACGATCACTTTTACATCTGTCTCAGATCATCTATTCACAGATGGTCAGCTGAGACATGTTGCTACTAGCTGTAAACAGCAAAAGTGTCTTGTAATATAAAATGACCAATAACTAAATAAATAGTTTTTCATACAGGGTTTTCACAGATATGAACAAGTTAAATTTAAGACCTTTTAAAGACATTTTCAATACCACCTTGTATGAAATTTAAGAAATAAACCTGTGATGGAAATACACATTATATTACATACATGTGTAAAGTGTTAAATGTAAAAACAAAACAAAACATCACTGTCATGAATGCTATTTATTATTATGATATACAGCAAACTTTTCATATCAGCAAACAATATTCCATACAAAATATCCCCACAAAAGCACCGCATCACTGAGATTTTTGGTGGTGTAAGCAATTTATTCTGAAGCAATAATTTCATTAGTGTTCTATCAGCTTTTACATACTTAAGTCTGCATATTTTTTATATTTACCCCAGAACTTACTTACCTTTATTAGGCCCTATTTTTAAAAAAACCTTTTTAACCTTTTTAAAATGTATACATCTGCATCATCTTTCAAATTCTTACAATTGACCAATAAATTCAATATACACTATAGGGCTGTTACACTCAAATTAAATAATTTACACTGCAATATTACAACTGCAATAAATATTGTTACGAGATTAATTTTTAAATGCATCAACCCTCTACATTGCGAGTAAATCACTCGCATATGCGACTAAATCTTCACTCTGGGTGACTAAATGATGTCGAAAATATTAGCCAACTGCTAATAAATTCTCAGATTTTACTTGCCAGTGTGTGAGTTGGAGGCTAAGTATAAGTTTAGCTCAGATATATTTTCACTCGCCGAACACTCTGACTGAGCGCTTCAGAGTTTCACTCTCCGCCAAGCGATCTGTGCTGTTTTTCAGTTCATCTGAATGTTAAGAGTGTACTTTCAGATATTTACACACACATACTTTTACAAACAAACAAATATATATATATATATATATATATTTATTTATCAGTCTGGCAAGTAAACTAAAAGATTTACTAGTCAATGGCGATTCAATTGCCAAGGTGTTCGTAGAGGGCTGTGCATACTTTTAAACACACTGAACCACCCGCAGGTGGCAATAGGGGTGGGCGATATGACCAAAATCTTATATCACTGACTAATTTTATATCACGATAACGATATATCACCACGATTAGGGCTGCACGATAAATCACATGTGATTATCATGCGCATCTCGTCAGTAAAGCCAGTTCTGTGATTAGTAGTAAATCTCCATCACCTGCTTTCAGATGGAGCGGCATTTAATACACAGAGCCGTAGTTCGCTGACAAGCTACAAAATATTGCGTTCATAATCGCAGATGAATCGCATTCGATTATGAACGCGATATTGCGGAGCATGTCCGCGAACTACTTTCTTTCTTGACTTTTCTCTCTTTCTTTCTGACATTTAACAAACTATACATTTCACATTTCTGTGTAAACAGATTATATAAAAATAGCACTGCACCATAGTCTGTGCACCCCAATCAGAATTTTACTAAACAAAACAAAAAACAAAAAACATGAGAATGACTTGTTGCTCAAAACCACTTGTTCTTCATATGTACAAAATTGAGAAGTTTAGATTTTGTGCACACAAGATTTCGGCATATTAGTCAAAATGACAGATTGCAACAGCTAAACTATTTGATGAACATATTTTTGCCAGCATTGTCCAAAGGTGGCATGTACAACCTCTGGTAAACATCTGACACAATTTTGTGGAAGATATGCATTTATGTAATAGTGGGCCATTCCGATTTGATGTTATTAGCCACTGAATTTGTTTATTTTTAATTTGGCCAAATCATATTATAGAATATGTTAGGATGTCCACCAAAGATGATGTATACCAACTTTTAATTTAAGGATTTCAGTTGTAGCACCCTTTGGGGCTTGGACCCCTAAATATTCATTTGGTCATTCCGATTTTATAACAATCTGGTGTTGTCTCATTTGAATGCTTAACCTGGTTGAAATGTGGTTAATCTGGAAGCAATATAAAAATTTACTCAGGGGTGATGCCACAGTACCAGGGTGGAACTGGTCCATCCAGAATGCTTGGGTGGATCAGTCAACAAAGTTTTACAGCATTTATTAACCTTATTTATTGTTACAAATGGACTCTTACTGTAAAGTGATACCATTTCATAAAAATCCAAAGTGTCATATTTAAAGATGGCCAGGCATTAACACTGAAATTAGATATGTATATAATCCATGTATCTCTCACACTTTAGGTTTCTATTTTGGAAAACTTACAGTTATGATAAAATAACATAACATACAGTTATGATAAAGAAAAAAAAAAGTAAATGAAATCGAATGAGTTTCTGATTTGTTTGTTTCTGTCAGCTGCATGAACATATCAACTGGCTTTCTCACATCAAAACTTTAAATATGCCTGTTCGCTGGATAACGATACACGCAAGATACCAACTGGATATAACTAATGCAAATAGTTGGTAATAACCGTGATGTTAAATATTTGGGTCAGATTTGCATGCAATATGACATAAATGTCACGCAATATGACATTCAAACTCGCATTAGACACTTGAATAAACATTGAATAAAGCACATAATACCTGAGATTATAATGGTCATAGTTTGTATGTTGTTGTTCCAGCCGTGACGTCGCAGAAATAGAAGCCATTTCTAAAATAGAAACTTTGCGTGTCGCTGTTGCAGCTGGTTAGGACAAAAACTCAGATTAACATGGAAAAGATACCTTTTATCATGTGTTGCAGCGTCGCAAGTTGTTTCAGTTGATTGTGAGGTCTATATATATATATATATATATATATAAGTATAAATATATCTTCGGTTTATTATGAAACTGTGGCAGGACAGATTACTGTGGTGGGCCGCCACAGTTTAGTAAATGAATGGGAAACACTGTGTGTGTGTGTGTGTGTGTGTGAGTGTGTGTATATATATATATAGAGAGAGAGAGGGATATACTGTATATATGAGAGAGAGAGAGAGGGAGAGGAGGGGTCTTTTTTTTTTAATTCAGGCTAGTTAAATTAATCTCGGCCAACAAAAATCTAAAGAGAGTTCCTGCCCTTAGGGCTATCAGGGATTTCAAAATTTTGCGAGCCCTGTAGTATTTACCGTCATTCAACCTAGCCATACTTTTAGCTACCAAGAAGAATGTAGCACACTGAGATCCATGTACAAATATGCAAATGGAAATATGCACAAATATTAAATCCATTATATACATAAATTAAAACAGTTTATTTTCTTCAGTAGCAATAAGTTAAAAAAAATTCTCTTTTTTATTTGCAGGTTTCCACATATCTGGACTCGCCATTACTCTGGGAGGCCTGACAAATCCAACGAACCCAAAGAGATCATGCGATGGAAGCTGAGGCACAGATACTGCAGTGTGGCCCTTTTCCTCATTGTGCTCGTGTTTGCGGGAGGCCTCGTTATTCAGGGTCAATGGCCTAGTCAAATCACCAAGGAGATGTCTGCTGCTCCAGAACTCCAAACCATGAAAACTTTCTCCAACTTCACCATGATGAATCCAACCAAGTTGAGGGAGCTTGAAGAGTCCCCTTCACCATTAAATTCAAATGAAAATGTCAACTCAGCTTTGGATGAAAGTTTTCAGCAGGGGTTGGAAAGCTCCTTGCTTTCAAACATCAGTTCTAGCAAAGAGATGAGAATGGCAAGGATACTTAAAGAGGAGCCATATGAGTACATCCTCAACGAGCCGAACGCATGTCTGCTGCGAGCTCCTTTCTTAGTGCTTTTGATTGCGGCTGAGCCCACGAAAACGGACGCCAGGGACGCAATCAGGAAAACATGGGCCGATGAAAGCGTGGCTGGGGGTTTGGGTTTCATCCGCCTTTTTTTCATAGGTGTAAATAAAGACACCCAAAGAAATGGCAGCAAACTGCAGCACACAATAGAGTTAGAAAGTCATCGATATCATGATATCATCCAGCAAGATTACAGGGATACTTACAACAACCTTACCCTGAAAACGCTGATGGGGATGTACTGGATCACAAAGTACTGTCCCGAGGCCAAATACGTCATGAAGACAGACAGTGACATGTTTGTCAACACCGAATACCTCATAGAAAAACTCCTAAAGCCCAAAGGGCAACTAAGACAGAAGTATTTCACAGGACTTCACATGTTAGACTTCTCCCCAAACCGAAACAAAGAGAGTAAATGGTACATGCCCCTAGAAGTGTATCCTGGTAGACGATACCCCACCTTTTGTTCTGGGACTGGATACGTCTTCTCCGGCGATGTGGCTCTAAGGATATACGTGGCATCTCTGACCGTACCCAGACTGCATTTAGAAGATGTTTACGTGGGTATATGTCTAGCTAAACTGAAGATAGAACCAACGCCACCACCAAATGAACTGCTGTTCAATCACTGGCGAGTGCCCTACTCTAGCTGTAGGTACAGCAACCTGATCACCTCTCATGGGTTTCATTCCAATGAGCTCATCCAGTACTGGCAGCATCTGCAGAGCAACAAGCACAATCCCTGTCAAACGACTGGGTAGAAGGTTCAATAAACAGATTTGGTCTGCTTTGGAGGTTTTATCATCAAGTTGAAAAGACCTGTAACATTTCACATTCTGCCAAATACAACAGATTAAAGTTCTTGTTCTGAGGGTTCTGGACAACCTTACCTGGGTTTTTTTGATTATCATTTTTTCAATTACTGTAATCTTAATGAATCTTAATAAATCTTCACAAGCCTGACTTTTTAAACGGGCATAAAATATTCAGTTGTGGTTTAAATATTTTTATGATAAATCTTACAGAATTGTAAATAAGCAAGATACTGAAAGATAATACAGCCACAATGCAAAGAAAATTAGGCCAACTCATTAAAAGGACCACAAGTGTAACATTTATCATTCAACAGAGTAAACTGGTAAAACAAAATGACGATTGTGAGGTCTTTTGGCAGAACACATATTCCATTAGGATGGGTAATGAATAATATGGCTAAACATAAGTAAAAAATGCACAACAGTAAACCATTTACTCTCAAAATACAAAGTATTGACCATGTAAGTACTCAATGCTGGACAGTGGATCACTTGCAAATTGTAGTCCCGTTATTGATTACAAATTACATGAGAGAAGTTGTAGTTTGTAACGTATTCTATTGGATTACACATTTGGTAATGTATTCTAACTACTCTGACTACGTTTAGATTACTTTTGACCTAAGCCCATTTCTATTCTTTGTTATTAAGACCATGAAGTACATTAAAGGTGACATATTATGCCCCTTTTTACAATATGTAATATAAGTCTCTGGTGTCCCCAGAATGTGTCTGTGAAGTTTCAGTTCAAAATACTCAACAGATCATTTATTATATAATTTTGAAAATGCCTATTTTGAGTGGAAGCAGAAACACGCTGTTTTTCGGGCCTGTGTTTTTAAATGCAAATGAGCTGCTGCTCCCCGCCCCCTTTTCCAGAATAGAGCTGCGCCATTACAGCTCGTACCCGCTAAAAAACATCTGTTTTGGTTCTGATTATCATGTTTATCGCGCTGAAATCATGCGTTTTAAACCATACGAGTTTAAACTTCTGATATACGGTTTTCTGAGCACACACATCCGAAGCACACGTACAGAAAGCGGCTGTCACAGAATGCGAGTATAAAACTCAAGTTCTCATTCACACACAAGTTTACATTAAAAACACACGAGTTAAAACAGTCGGTTAGGTCTGTGAAGGTAATCAGGCAGAAAAAGGCTTACCAAAACAAAGTTACTGGGTTCATCTTTTTCACGTTTCCTTGGTTGGTAGATGCACTGGGGACCTGATTATAGCACTTAAAACCTGGAAAAGTCAGATTTTCATGATTTGTCACCTTTAAACATTACATTATGCCAGGGTTTCCCAAACCGGGGTTTGTGATTGAACTGCAGAGGGCATGTTGATGTTTTCTTTATTAACCTGTAAAAATGACAAATTAAACTAATTATCAAAATTAAACACTTGAGAAGATTTTTTTAGAAAAAAAAATGAATTGGGGTAAATCAATAAACTATGAATAATTTACTGCCACTGTGTGAATATGTAGCTTAATCATGTAAACTATAAAAAGTACCTGTAGTCTGATTATGAGCATTTTAAAACAAAATTATCTAATTACAAGTATTTAATATCTGGAATCCAGATGACATGTAATCAGTTATTACACAGCAGTGTAAATACCACAATCAGCAAAGGGAATGGAGAACAAAAACTTAAATTAAAGAGAAACTTTTTGAACATTCAAGTTAAATGCTATGAAATCTCCAGGATTGAGTGATGATTTAGATTTTAGTCTGTTTTTTTTTACTTTACACTTGGTTATTTATTTTTTGGAAACATTGCCCAAGCATAAAAATTATAGTGAATGTGTAAAACCATGAGGTGGATACTTGCTGTACACTATCAACTAGGGTTAGTTACCGAAACCTATGTTACCTATAGTAAGAAACTTATAGTACCTAAGTAACCGGTATGTACTAGAACCAAATCAGAACGCAGATTTCGGTGCCTCATTTCACTTAAATGCTTGAGCGATCGATTGAAATATTTGTTCTCTGGTTCTCCTAAACGGATGTAAGGATCACCAGCACCGCACGTGAAAAATAATTTCCCGACTGAGAAAATTCATGAACGCAAGTCGGAAAGCTCTAATAATACAAATCCAACACATATTTGTAGTAACGCGAGTGTCCATGCTGTTTTCACATTCCGACTTAAAAGCACAACTCGGGAAATGAGAGCATCCGAGGAGCGCGTGAATGCAGTAATTACACTTGCTCTAATGGCAGCAGGTAGACTTCCGTTAACTAAGCTAAACATGCTTAAATTAAAATGCCTAAAGCTAAACCTCCCTTGTATTCACATTTCTAAACCTGTTGTCCAACAAAAGAGAAAATTATAACCTTTTTACTCCACAACACCAGTCAAATGCTACCTTTTGTGATCTGATGAGGCTTCTTGTCACAGAATGAGGCAGAAAATATGTTCTATATGCTACTTTAAAAAGAATACATCGATTAGCAATAAATTAG